TTTCTTTCTTTTGTTTCTTCTTTCTTTCTTTCTTTTTCTTTCTTCTCTCTCTCTCTCTCTCTCTCTCTCTCTCCTCTCTCTCTCTCTCTTTCTTTCTTTCTTTCTTTCTTCTTTCTTTCTTTCTTTCTTTCTTTCTTTCTTTCTTTCTCTCTTTCTCTCTTCTCTCTCTCTCTCTCTCTCTCTCTCCTCTCTCTCTCTCTCTCTCTCTCTCTCTCTCTCTCTCTCTCTCTCTCTCTCTCTCTCTCTCTCTCTCTAGCCGGAGTGAGGGGAAGGTGTTACCACTTCCGGATCCAGCGCTCCACCATCGGCGCGTACTTCGTGTCCAGATAAGCTTTCGTTCGGTACGCTGGGGGAGCTCATCTCCCTACTAACCAGAAAAACCCTCGCAGCCTGGCAGTGCTGCTGGAGGAGCCCTGCGCCCAGCAGGTAGACACAGAGATGCACAAAAACACTGATTGTTTTTACTTCTATTCTTGTGAGGACCCTATTGACACGAGCAAGACATTCTAGCCATAAAGCTGCACTAATCAATATTTTATTATTAACAATGGCACAAAGGACTGTTGTTAATATGGATTAGGGTTTCTCATATGATTTATCACCAGGACTCACGGTTCCCCTGAGATCTCTGAGTCTTTCTCATTAACTCGTCTCTAGCAGCCGGCACCAAAACGGCCTAAACCCGATGTACATTACCTGCCCAACGCCAAACAGACAGAGTTAGAGACTAGCTGGTGAATATAGAGGAGCATTTAGCAAAAAACTCCTCTGGGAGACGATGAAGTTAAAGATACAGGTGTTTCCGCCAGGAGTGGGGTGGAGCACAAAGGGAGCTGTATAGAGACAGAATAATGAACTTTAATCTGTCAGGTAGCCAGAAACATAAGTTCAACTGAATGCTAATGTTGCTACCTGTCTGGGGGATGTGTAAATAAGCAACTGTTTGCAGTTCACTGTTTTACCGACTTTAAAAGTTGATAATTATTAATTAGTTAATATGTTGAACTTGTTACCAGTTGCTTATTTCACATGCAGCAGTTACAGAGCAACATTATCTTTCATTTGGAGTTGGTGTCTGTGCCACCTGATGAATAAAGTCCAATATCATATTCTTTTAGCTCCACTTTTAGTCTCTACCAACTCCTGAGAGAAATATCGGCTCTTTGGCTGCAAAATGCTCCACTTTGTTCCCCAGCTACTGTGTCTGTCTGCTTCTCAGCTGTAGTGTATAGTGTTTTATTTTTATTTTTTAAACTTCTTCTCTGAAAACAATGCTGAGAGAGGAGTGAGAATGAACAAAAACAGTAAAAGTTGCAGCCAGAGAGATTTAATGAGCCGAAACTCACTAAAAGGCTCTGTAAAGCCGAGGGGAGCTGCTGCTGATTCTCTGTTGGTTCATCACTACCGGCTACCACTTTTAATATTGTCATTGGTGGAATACAGTCTCCCTAATTTCCAAAAGTGTCAGTTTAAAAGGTCTAAAAATGGAATTGGTCCACACAAAGATAGAAGTACAAGAGCACACATGACAGACATGTATCATCGGTTTTTAATTGTCTTTGTTGTAATCGGTACACACCTACTATAAAATCTTCAGAACTGCCTTTACAATACATGCATTATATGTATATAACATTTATAGGGCAATATTTTGTCAGAATTGACAAATTAAAAGTGACAGCAGCACAATAAGCAATTGCAAGCAATTTCGACCCATTGTGACACACACAATGATGCCCCAAAAATGATATGATTCAGTAGAAATATAGTACACAATTATAATAAACACATGCAGTATTTTACCAAAAATGGACATTTTACTGTTCTTTATGTAAGTGAAGACGCAGTTAGAGATAACTTAAAATTGAAAATTATACACATTATATTCTTCTATGAGGATACTTTAGAGTTCATCACTATAAAAGGCTGTGGCTCTGTGTTTAATTTATCATATTTTTGGTTTTTGGTTAATTTTGGAACTGTGTTTGCAGAGTTATTTTTACTTTAGCATTAAGAACTCTAGATGATTAATAAATGGTTTACAACACACCTAGAATGGAGTTGTAAGCAGCTATAAAGACAGTTTATTAAGGTACAGTATTTGTCAACAGTTATAACTTCTTATATAAGTACAATTGTTTTACTTTATTATAATTCATTATCTGTTTATACACATACAGGTATTCACAGGAAGAGTTATATTTGTTGACAAATGCATAAATCAATTATTTTATCTGTTAATTACATTAAATGTGTTTGCAGTTCTAAATGAGTGAGCCAGTATTTACCTGTAACAGTGAGGCTCAGCTGAACATCATGGAACGTGAACATGGAAGGGTTATTTGTGTAACCACGAAAAACAACTGGAAAAAAAGGATAAATAGCTCCTCAGTGAGGGACATTATACAACATTATTACGTATCGTGATTTAAAAAAACAGCTTTTTATTGTGGTGAATTTCCATTATCGGTATAACCGTGAATATCCTCACATGGCTTGACTTGAAAAAGCTGTCTAACTCGACAGCATACTGTCCTACAGGTTTTGTAATGTTTAGTCTGTCATGAGTGACTACTCACTCACTTGGACTCTGACATACTCAAACACCTTAAGCTGTGGTTACAAAGCTGTTTTAAGAAATTTGACTCACCAATAGTGTCTTAAAAGCAACAGCAACCTTTATATAGCTTTTTTTTTTAGCCCGCTGATGGGGACTCACAGCGATCTCAGTTCAATACTGATGCCTTTATATGACCTACATTAACAAACCATCAGCGATAAGATATTTCTGTATAGTTATTTTTGATGCCTGCCACTGGGTTGGATTCCCCTTTAAATCAACGAAATGAGATGGTGGGAACACTACCGCATTTGTCCACAGGGGTCGCCAGAATCAACAAGAACTGAAAGCTCCTTACTGCGGCTTTAAGTTACTACTTCAAATATCCATGAACAGGACAACAGGCAGAGCAATTACACAGATAATCATTTTAAGGGATACTTGTATATTTAACCTGCGTATTAATATTCCATTATACAGTAATTTTCTCTGCACCTTACCAGTAGCTGAAGTTGTGGCACAAAAATCTATTCAACTGGATCTGCCCTTCAGCTAAAATAAATTAGCTTTTGTAGTATTTCTAAATGAACACCAGCAGCTACTAATGACTCATAACAGTTCCCATTGATGCTGATAATGTAAGTCAAATTCCACTTTAAATCCAGAATGTTTCACTATCTTTTTTTAATCAGAGAAGCTTTTGTCTTTGCAGTAAGAATCTGAAACAAAGTGCAACAAAGATTTTCAATTAATCTTTCTATTGTTGCACTGCAGCAGAATTTAATGAGTGCTGTCTTATTCTTTATGTGCATGAATTAATACCGAGAGACAAACATATTTGGAGTGTAATTAAGGAGAGAATAAAATATTTGGAACAGTTTTAGAATAAAACCATGAGGCAGTGCTGTAATTACACGCGCTATCTCTGCACTGCAGCTTAAATTAAACCCCCAGCGAGCTGTATTCTTTATTCATGGCTCATCAGTTTGAGCCCAGCGGGAGACGACAGGGCATAGCTCGCTGAGGTTTTCTCAGTATCTGGAGACTTTTCACTGCAATGACAAACCAACTATTTAAACAGCAGTGCGCCCATTCTTCACATTACAATTAAAGAATGATAAAGGAATATTACAGATATTAAAGACGAGATCAAGTTGCAGCTTTTCCCATAAATAATAAAACAAAGTGTGTTTAAAGACATAAAGTCAGTATTTCTTCTCCATCCGAGGCCACTCAGTGATTCCTCCCTCTTCTCTCTTCCCTTCCAGAGGAAGCTGTGAGTCTGAGGCCACGGACACACTGAGGCAGAAACACACACACATACACACACACACACACACTGAACACACATGCTTTCATGTTGTTGAAACACACACAGACAACTACATAAAACATAAATGCACACACTGAAGAAGAGAACAGCGAATGAGAATACAGATAGAACATTTACACTTCCACATTTTTAATTTAATTTTCATTTTGTTAAGTAAGTTTTTATTTTATTTTTTTACCTTTTTTATAGATTGTAATAGAGTAAAAATCTGAATCAAAAATATATGTAAGTATTGATTTTCTACGCGTGCCTTTTGCATTTCGTGACTTTGTTGTAGCGCCGTGAAATCCACAAACGCCATCACTGTCGGTGTTTTAAATGAAACGTACTGTGTTTCAAACTGTGAGCATTTTGGATTTCAAAGCTGCATTCGAGCTAGGGATTGGAATTAATAAGATTTTATTGACACCAATGCCATTATTGATTCCGCTTAACGGCTCAGTTCCCTCATTAATTACTAAACAGGAATAACTGTGGAAATTATGTTGGCCAAGACTTTTCAGCATCAGTGCAAGTGTTTTATTATCTCTGAGTCTCTTTGTGGAATGAAGTCAGACTTTGGAACCATTTGTTCCTCTCCGCCATGACTCAGCAGCATAGACGCATGAGTGTGACGTCATTGTTTTGCAACGTGAGACTGTCAGAAAACATGCCCGCATCAATGAAAGTAATTGATGCTCGGGGGCGTATGATTGATATGGATTGGACAATTTGGAAAGGGCTGTTGATTCACATCCCTATATCGAGCACTAAAACAAAGTTCTCAAGCAAGACAACAACTCTTCACAACTTAAATGTCTAGTTGTAACATTTAGGAGGATCTATTGGCAGAAATGGAATATAATATTCATATGAGACGTTTTTATCTACAAACACTGCATGTTTCTACAGTAACCCAGAATGGACAAACCAAACTGCGTTTCATGGCCACAGTAGTTTCTCCCTCACGCTTGGAAAATGAAGGTGAAACGAGTGAGTTGCGATCTGTAACTACACCGCTAGATTCCACTAAATCCTACACACTGGACTTGTTATGAAGTTATGGAGAGTTGTTCACCTCATGGCTGCCGAAATGTTTTAGTTTCAGTTTAAATCCTGAATATTACATTCATAATTCAACGTAAACATTTTTTTTTTACATTATTAAAGTGTTTTCTCTCATCATTAATATACAGCTCGCCATTATCCATATATTATGCAATACTCTAATGGTTGATCATTCAAACTCAAGAATAAATCTGCTTCTAGAAAATGAGTAGCTCACATTTAGATGGTAGTTAAATGCTCTATCAGTTAAATAGTTTGCCAGTAAAAATGAGTCTCTAATGATGCTTTCAAACACTTTTTATTGACATTTTGTTCCCAGTAATTCTGTAGGCAAGTGACAGAATCAATAAAAATTGATGAAGTGTGCTTTGTGGCCCCTGTCTGTAATACAAAGACAGGTCTGATTCTTCTGTCTGCTTTTAGTTTCTAAAAGCAGATTCATCCTGCTGTTTAAATGCCTAATAAACTGACTGTGAAAGCCCAAGTGGTTACACATCTCAAGCCATTAGCCATGCTTAACATTTTTGTTTTCATCCTTGTGCCATTATTGGTTATATTTACGGGAAAAACAAGCTGAAAACAGAAAATGTGAGTAAAAGATGAAGCAACAGAGTGAAACACAATGTTGTTCATTTCAACTTAAATGTCCTTTTTTATTTCAGTTAGTTTCTTTTTCTTGGTTTTTATACATTATTGCCAAAGCTTTGATGGCAAAGAAACACTAAACTTGATAGCTTAAATTTGTTTAATATATATAACATCACTTATCTATGTGTGAATGATGGCTAATTATTTAATTTATTGTCTTTTTTTTTTAAAAAAAACTAATCATTTTATTGATCTGTTGATTTCATTTTATATTTGTCAAAGCACTTGATCATTAGAACAAAATGTTTTATAGCACCTGATTGTTAATGACAATAAATTTGTCATAAAACTTTTGAATTCATGTGCCATTTATTACGCCTGACTGTTGTTCATTCATTTTACTTTCATTCCTTCATTCTTTCACTTACCTTACCTTGCTGCTGACTGATGCATCACCAGAAAGGAAACCTGTCTGTATGTGTGTCAAACCTGGAAAAAAAGAGAACAATAACAATCTGGGACAGTAAAAGATTTTATCATCAAGGTCCAGGTTTTTGTCCATTGTCACATTTTTGTTTATTCAGTGAGAGCAATGCTCCCTTTTTCAGCAACGCCCTGATCACATTCACTCCTGGAAGCTTCCCAGTACAACCACAATCTGATATGTGGCCACTGAGCAGCTCCACTGGAGCGGTTGGGGTCACGGCAAGTACTGCCTTTCACTTTCTATAGCATCAGGAGGAGATTAAACCCTGGCTGTTATTTATTTTCCTGTTTGGCCGTGTCTGATAACAAGAGACTCATTTTAAAAGGGATATGGACAAAAAACAGCATTCAAGAAAAATATTTAAAAGAAAGCGCTCACAGTCAAAGAAATTGTTTATTAAAAGCATATTTTCTGTAATATAATAATATAATCTTTTTGCCTCCACTCCTCCTTTGGTCTATTCCAACAAACTCTGGTTTCCTGTTTTGCCCAATAGGATCATAATTCTTTCATGTTAAAAATCATACTGACAAGATGCTAATTCTGTGGGAAGTTATTGTAAAAAACTAATGAATCAAAGAATATTTTAAATGAACAATCCCTCAGAGTTGCAGCCGAGTGGTACATTTGGTTTGCCATCGTCTGCCCACTTGTTTTTAAACTGTTCTGATTTAAAGTTGTCTGGACTCATGCTGTCGTCTCTGTGCAGCGGGAACTGTTCGACATGGAGCCGTGGGAGAGACCTCGGGAGGAGTTCAGACTCCACAAGAAACTGGGAGAGGGGCACTTTGGAGAGGTGTGGGAGGCTCTGTGGACCACGGAGAACAGGAAAGTGGCCATAAAGACGCTGAAACAAGGTACGAATGCACTTTAAAGACTATAAATGATGTGACTGATGATGGTGTTTGAGATACATTTGAGGTTTAAAGATGCTGTGGGGATTTTATTCTAAACAAGGTTATGTTTAGTGTTTCTCAACAAAACTGCTGAGACTGTGTATCCATGAATCCGAACACACATGTTAAATGTATTTCCTTCCTTATATTGCGAGCACATAGTTTTTCTTTTTTTTTTTTAAGTAAAAAACAGCATTGGTTACACTGTTAACACCGTACAGCTCTATTTACTTTAAAACTGAAATTTTATATATTCATATTTTCTCTTCTCACTCTGTTTATTACAGTTATAAATGGTTACAAATACCAAGGCAAATTCCTTGTATGTGAAAATCTACTTGGCAATAAACCTGTTTCTGATTCTGATTTGTTAGCCTGTAGCTCAGTGAAATAGTGTGAAACTATTGAATGTGTATATAGTACAAACATACAGGAACACACTCATCAAAACATTACTCCACAGGGGTCACAGACTCCACAGGCGACCTTTTTCAGAGGTGGGATATGCGATTCTAATCTCATACACTTTTTGTCAAATTCAGTGAAAATCTCCTCACAGTCGACTAGTTTTCTGTTCTGTGTGTACACAGAAAATTAAATCTGGTGTTTGTACACAAGTGAATCGAACCGAGCCATAACAAAAAACTATTCCAGCCAGGATTTGTGTTGTTGTGATTTTAGCTGTAGTAGCAGGAGCGCTGTGAGTCCGTCTGTCTGTCCGGACCTGTCCTCTCTGTATGTTAGCTGCAAACCCCACAACATAGCTAATGTTAGTTATGTTACTTTTTTTTTTTTTTTTTAAGTATATTTTTTAGGTTTTTTTAGTGCCTTTATTATAGTGACAGCTGAAGATAGACAGGAAAGTGGGGCAGAGAGAAGGTATGACACGCAGCAAAGGGCCGCAGGTCGGATTCAAACCCTGGGCCGCTGCAGCACAAGGACTCAGCCTTGGTACATGGGTCGCCAGCCCTACCCACGGAGCTATCTGGGCGCCCAGAACTACCTTTTTTAATTAAAGCAATAGAAACAGAAGGTAGCCATTAAATTGTAATTTAACACCCATTTAAATGATTGTTTTTGCTGTCCTCCTGCTTAAGGTCTCATCTTGGTGCAGTGATGTACAGGTGTACACCAGGACCCTGTGACATCACTGTTGGGTGTGGTTACAAGTGAGAAAAGAGAACAGAAAAGAGATGAATGGTTTCTGTCCATTCTTTCACTGCTTAATACCTCACCTAACTTCATTCCCTTTTAAAACAACATTCCATCCAATGTACCACAGAGGACAGTGAAACACCAGCTTTTAAGCCTGGTGTTGAGTTACACTCAAAGGCTGTGTGCAGACACAGCAACAAAACACTACAGACTGTGTTGGTCTGGGCATGTTGCTACAGATGCTGATGAGACGATAAAATCTCAACTTTAAGGCTTCTAGATTTTACAACTCAGTGAAGTTTTCATGGCTGCGATATTTTTGCTTTTCTGGCCCCGAAACTTGCAAGATAAGAGATAAAATCAGTCCAGTGCAACACAATACAGGATATAAAGTATTCTGCCTGGGTTGTGTGCTTGCATGTTTTTGATTGGCCCGGGCAGGGCAGGGAGTTCATTCAGGAGGCAGAGACTGAAGAGGGACTGATGGATAAAAACATGAAGAGTGTGATGGAGAGCAGTGATATTTAAATAACAAATGAAAGGATGTATTAAAGGGATAGTTCAGGTTTTTTGAAGTGGGGTTGTATGAGTACTTAAACATAGTCAGTGTATTATCCACAGTACATAGAGGTCAGCATGCCCTCCTTAAAAAAATCAATATCATTTTCAGTGTAAGCTATTTTAAGAACATTTTCAGCACTCTACCTTGCTGTCAAACAGACCCTTTCCTTTGGCACTACATCCCCTCAGCCCGTTCTGTATCTTCTGGTTCATAAAGATATCCTCTTGCCTCCACAGTGAACAGTCGCTGTCATCTTTTTTAGCTGATCTTTGGCAGAATACAGAGTGCACAGCACAGTTGGGCTTTGGTGTAAGAATACAGGGTTGAGACAATGTAGTGCCAAGGAAAGGTAAATCTGTCAAAATGTTGATCTTCTAAAGGTCGGAGTTTTTTAGGTGGATAAAATATTTTTCTCTGTAGAACATCATATAGCCCCTCTTCTTCAAAACCCAAACTGTGCCTTTAAGTTACACATTAATAGGCAGAGAAAAATAGGTGGAGGTTATTAACAAAGTGAGAGGAAAAGAAAAGCTGATTAAAAAAGTTTTGCAGGAATTATTGAAGGGTTAGAGGGAGAAAATATGAAATATTGTAAAGTAGTAGTTGAGAGATGAATGAAAAGAGTAATGGTAGTAAAACTATAAATTATGGAAAGGAGGACAATTTAGAAAAATGTGGGGAGAAGAGGAGACAGACCTGGCTGTAAAGAATGTAAAGTCAAATGAATGACATGAAAGCAGCATGAACAAGAGGAGAACCAGCATAATCAACTGAGGTACAAACTCACCAATAATTCTGTTTCTGCTCCTCCAGAGGACACGAAGCAGGACGAGTTTGTGAAGGAGGTCCAGGCGTTGAAGAGCCTCCATCACCCGAAGCTGATCCAGCTGCTGGCCATGTGCTCCAGAGGAGAGCCGGTCTACATCGTGACCGAGCTCATGAGCAAAGGAAGCCTCAAGTCATACCTCGCCTGTGAGTGCTGAAACACGTGTGTGTGTGTTTCACACACACACACACAGCCAGGGTCATAAGCTCGTAAAACGCCTGTAATATTCAGACTACACGTTATCGCCTCTACAATAGAAGACTGACGGTAAATCAGTTCCCCATTAACAACAAGTGTTTGGATTAGTTTATTTCCTGTTTCTAAATGTCACATGACTTCTTTATAAAAGACTCCACTGCTGCTTTAATATGCAAAGAGGTTTAGAACAGGAAGTTAACTTAAAAAATTTTGGGGGGTTTTCAGCCCTTGCCTCAGAAATATTTTGGAAAGCCCTCTGAAACAGTATTTAGGCCAAGTGACGTTAAATCTGTCCCCCCTTTAAATCCATGGCAAATGGAATTATAATCTGTGTTCTGGCAGCTCCGCTCGGCAGAGAAATATTGTTCTGACGTTTTTCAAAAAGGCTTTAATCAGAGTCTTAGTAAGCAAGTGTGAAGGATTTGACTCAGATATCTCTAATTCTTCATGCTGTATGTGTGTGTTTGTGTGTCTGCATTTCATTACTGTAATTTTCTGCCTTCTGTGTAGAATTAGATTTGTGGTTGCAGTATGAAACATTATACAACAAAGGACGCTAAATTATTTCCCCTCACATTCTGGTTAGGAAATTGGAACCATGTTATACAGTTGTTACTCGACAATAAAACTACACGCAGGTAGTGAAATCATATTTCCTCCCTAATGCAATCATTATCAGCTACCTGCGTGTGAATAAACAGTTCTTATTATTGTTGCATTGTTTGCAAATCACATCCTTAGCATACAGTTTATTACTGGAGTGAAACAATGTAATGTGCTCCCCAAATAACATTGCTTTTTCTAATGGGATATCTCTATTTGCTTATCTGCATAGCGATAAACATTGAGCTGTATGAGTCATTTAAAGTAATGACCTGTGTTGAGACAAACTTCTGCCACTCCTTCGCAGCCCATTTTCTGTGAATGAGAGGTTATAAATCAGAAAAAAAGACACTTAAGCTCTTGTACTGAAGCACTGATCACACCGTTAGTTGTTTGTGTGAGAGGGATCCACTCCCAGCGTGTGATAACATCTAACCTTTGTACCTGTCGAGTATAAATGTTCTTGTACAAGTCGCTTTGGACGAAAGTGTCTACCAATCTAATGTATGTTAAGGCTCCAACTAACAATTTTCATTATCAATTAATTGTTTGGTCTATAGGAAAATGGTGAAAAATGTTTAGTGTTTCTTAAAGCCCACAGTGACATCCTCAATTGTCTTGTTTTGTCCAAAATCCAAAGATATTCACTTTACTGTCACAGAGGACTAAAGAAACGAAAATACTAATTTTCAATTACTTTTTTCTTAAAAAATGGCTCAAATTGATTATCAAAACAGTACCGATTAATTTAATAGTTGACAACAAACTAATGTATAATGTAAGTGTAATGTATTATAACAAAAAAATAATGCTAAAGTATCATGAAGGTGGCCCTTTATTTACTTAATTCTAGGACATTTTAACCTGCTCACCAGGTTATAACCACCTTTTTATAATAATAAATATAGTATAATAGTTTCAGAGTACGGACCACTACCAGTGTTATTGCTTGGTCAGACTCTGACAGTCTTTTTTACTTATTCTTTGATCACAGTTTTAGACTGTAATATTATTTTGGAAAATACCATATTACGTTAATGGTTAAAACAACAATTAAAAGAGCAACTGAACACACTTTAAACTGGATTAAGACCTCTTCACAAATTCAAACTAGGTTCACTTGTTTGGGGAAATGAGGTTGTCTTGTAGTAATGTCACAGTTTTTAATTGTTTTATAGAATAAAACATGAATTGTTCTGGAAGTAGGAGACTACTTATAATGTGGATTTAGTGTAATGTGTAATGTGGTGTAAAAATTTTCTGCTGAAAAGTGAAAAATTCAAATGTCACAAAGCCATAAAAGAACAAAAGACACAACCTGCCTGGAAGACAAATCCATATTTCTCACCTACTTAGCTGACTGTGTGTTTGTGTGTTTGTGTGGTGTGGTGTTGTGTGGTGTGTGTGTGTGTGCTGTGGTGTGTGTGTTTGTGTTTGTGTTTTCAGCTGCTGAAGGCCAGGTGCTGACATCAGCTCATCTGATCTACATGGGCAGTCAGATTGCAGAGGGCATGGCCTACCTGGAGGATAGAAACATCGTCCACAGAGACCTGGCTGCCAGGAACATCCTGGTGGGAGACGATCTGGTGTGCAAGGTGGCCGACTTCGGACTGGCTCGAATTATTAAGGTAAGCAGAATCTGTGTGTGTGAGCGGGAAAGAGAGACAGCATGCACACATTATATGAGAGAAGGGTTATTTCTGTTTCATCTGTCAAGAACCATTTTCTTATTTTAGAATAGTGCTAATTCTTTATCCGTGTTCTTTTTAAATATGTATAGTCTGCTTTGTTGTTCCTGTGTAAACTCATGTATACTTAATGGATAACTCCATCCTCCATCCGTCTGTCTAGTATAATGGAGCAGCACTCAAAACAGAATATTTTATTCATACAGAGCTTCCAAGACATCAAAAGACTTTATATCAGCTAAGACAGAGACAGCTTAAAGGTTCAGTGTGTAATGCTTAGTACATCATTACCTCATGACTCAAAAGACAATAATATTTACTGTAAATAAATCTGATTCTCCATGAGAGAGAATCTCTGTGCTGCATTTAACCGTGTAAAGAAATGTTGTAATAAAAGGCAGAAACAGGTTTTGCAAGGAAATAGACTCATTAATCCACTTTTCCTCTAACGCTGACCTCGTGTTAGCTGGTCTGAATAAACACTGACTCTTATCAGGAAGGTTTTATCCATCATGTTTCTGTTTGTTTTTAAAGCAACTGAGGCTAATCTAAGTGGTGTAGAGGGAATAATTAAAGGCTTTAGGTCGGATTTATTGAAGTGAGGTTGTATGATATACATATCCATAGTCTGTGTATTAAGTACAGTAGATGGCAGTTGGCACACCCCCAGTTTGGAGAAGCAGATAGAGTATCAGCACAGAAGTTAAGCAACATATTGCTTGTAGACAGGGGCACCAAAAATGATTGTGGCTACCTTAAAAAAAATAAATCAGTTTAATTGTATAAAATATTCTACCTTGCCTTCAGACAGCTCTTACTTGTCTTGTCAGTCTTGAAACTGAAGTGTTTATGTCCCTCTCTTCAAAGGCACCAGACTCCTTTTTAATAAAAACAGTAATTGCTGTGCAGCTCAGAAGATACAGCGTACACCTAAACTGATTGTGATTGATTTAGGTGGCTAAAATAAGTTTTGCTGCTGTCCACAGCAGTATATTGCTTGGCTTCTGTGCTGGTACTTGGCATTCCAAGATAATTATGGCCATTTGATTTTTACATGCCCTTCAGAAGACTAAACACTTTATTAAAGCCTGTGCCTTGTTATTTTTTGGTTATAACTTATTGATCAGAAAGCAACATCTTTTTTGGTCTTATTACATGTCCTTGTCCTTTTTAATACCCGTTTTTGTGAAGTAGCGCTTCTCAGCCAATCTACTGGCATTTGCTTCCTCTTTACTGTCTGTTGGGGGTTCATGGGATAGGAAGTCTCAAATTTGAGAAAAACAAAAGGCTGCACAGTGCACCGTTAAAGTTCGAGGGTGTAATCTGTTAACATTTTACCGTTTCTCTTTCCAGGACAGTGTGTATACAGCCAGTCGAAGCACAAAGATCCCGGTGCGGTGGACAGCTCCCGAAGCGGCAATTTACCAGAGGTTCTCCGTAAAATCAGATGTCTGGTCCTTTGGGGTCCTGCTCTATGAGATGATGTCACGCGGCAAGATGCCTTATGAAGGTAGAGTGTTAACTTCTTTCTACTTCATATAGAGAATTACAGCTACTGTACATATATTATACTACTGTATATATTTGTAGCAGATTGATTCCTGTGTTATCTATTAAAAGGTGTTATGAAATATGGACAACTTTTCCAGTTGGACTTATGGGTATAAAAATACAATGGAAGTGTGCAAGTGGTTTTACTGATTCCAATGCATGATCACACCCCTCTTAGTCAGTTTTATCTTTTAAACTGAATAGTTTTAAGTATTATTTTGCCACTGGAAAACATTGGAGAAACAGTTTTAATAAATTATATCTGTCATCCAGGAAGTTATCCATACAGGTTTAAAAATGGTTAACAAATATATAATTTTTGAAATAGTTGGGAAATTTGTTGGGAACTATTTTTCGAGGCGGATTAATATACCTTTGCTCTAATGATTATTTGGTGCAGCAGCAGGACGGTGTCTGTGGTTCATGGTGATTAAGAAACGTGTCCTAGTGCAACAGTGTGGCTGATTCATGTGTTTTTAATATTTAGTCGTGGCCAACAAATGTATCATTTGCGTTTCTCTAAAATGACCTTGTCAGGGAAGTCATTTGATATGATGAAAAAGTACCTAAATGGAGATAATACTTTTTGAGATAACTGATATCTTGACTCGGTATGTTGTAAGAGTCGTGTTGACTTTACCTTTCAGAGCCAAGCTGTTTCTGGACGTCACAGTGGAATACGTTGAACATGGTTTATTCTCTGCCTGCACAAGAAAAGGTTACAACATTAGTAAACTCCTCCAACTTTAATGCTTTTATATCCCTCACTTTTAGGAAAAAGCAACAAGGAAGTGCTTGATCTGCTGTCATCTGGGTTTCGGCTGCCCTGTCCAACCCGCTGCCCTCAGAATATTTACCGCATCATGATGGACTGCTGGGCCGCTGAGCCCTCCAAGAGACCCTCCTTCCACGCCCTGCACAGCCAGCTAGATACAATATATGCCAGGATATATTTCAAGACTATAGAGGTATAGAAAGAGGGAGAGGACGATGAAGACAGAGTTATAAACAGGAGCAGATGTTCTGCAACTGGTCGTCGGCAGCAGCATGGACTGCAGCTATGAAGAAGTAAGGAAAGGGGGATGAGAAATAGCAAGGAATGTTCTTCTCCCCCATGCAATCCACTTCCACAACAGGGTATATGTACTTTAAAAACACCAAGGTGTGAAAGGAACAGTGGCAGCAGAGCATCAGAAGCAGACACACATTCAGAAGATGCTTGCCAAAGCAAAGAAAGGATGGAAAAATTAAAACTTCATTTCTTAGGCCACTGAAAGTAGCCTAAGAAAGGTGTGTAAATACACTCCTACTTAACAAAACCAAACACTAAAACACTCAGCACATTCACAGAACCAACTGTTTTTAATTTTGTACCCTTTTGTGTTTTATAAATACTTTTTTATTACTTCTGTATGTGCCATGTCTGTGTATGCACACTTTGAAAGGTTATGAAAATCACAGGTAAGGACTTAAATTAATCACCTGTCTTTTGACTGCGAAGCCAGTGATAAAAATTGAGGTTATGTGCAATAATTGAAATAAATAATAAATAATGCTTGCTGGGTTTTTAGCCACACTAGCAGCCTGGTGCTGGAGATACTTTGGTCTAGTAAAATATCTTTGACATGGATTGAATTAATCACCTGATATTTGATACAGACCTTCATGTTCCCAAAAGGATGAATCTAACAACTTTAGTGATCCCATGACTTTTGATCTAGCGCTACCATTAAGTCAGAATTTTTGTTGTTTTTGGAAGCAGAGTATCTTATTATAAACTAATGACGAAATTCCTATCCGCTTTCATTTGAGGTTAAAGGACAGAATAGATCAAAGGTATTTCTGAATGATTACGACCAATAAAGCTTTAATTGTACATATGCAAGTAAGATAGAACTGAAAATCCTAATCAGTCCTTCACAGGAATAGTTCAACGTTTTGGGATATAATTCTTTGCTCTCTTGCTGAGTGTGACAGTAGGTGAAAAGATTTTTAAGTTAGCTATGGAGCTAAAGCCAGGAGCTTGATTAGCCTAGCTTAGCATAAAGACTGGAAACGGAGGTAAACAGTTAGCCTGGCTCTGTGCACAATTAAAACATACCTACAACACTAGTAAAGCTCACCAATTAGTATGTTATAAATACACCATTGGAGTGTCACAACACTGCTTCAGCATGTTGGCTTGCCAATTAACATACTACTAAACTTTACCAGTTTACTAACCTATTGAAATAAAAATTAAAAAAAACCCAATCATTAGCACGTTAGCACATATAGCATGTCAGGGTTGAGCTCAAAGCACAGGTACAGGCTAACGGTGAAGCTTACATTGATGAAGTTGAACCACGTCGAGCTGAGGCTAGTAACTCTAGATGTCCTAGCCCACTGTTCAGAGAATAACCAATTTGATTTATATCGACACCCTCAGGACAAAATTGACATTTTATACCCCATTAGATAAAGGGATCTAGTCAAAGTTTGCTCCATCTATTTAATCCATCCACCACTTTCTGTTTCTAACCTCATGGGTTCCTAGCGTGGCTATACACCGTTAGTCTTCTTATTAACCACAAGCGTGAAGTATTTTATTCAGCCTACCTTCTCTTACTGGAAATTGAGACTGTTTTGACAAAATGTTACATATTTAATACACTTGGATACAAGTTTCTCTAGAATAGTTTGGGAATTGTTTTTCAATCTTCCTGTGAGATGTTTTTGGGGGGCTGACACAGTGCTTCAAAAGCCAGTGGGCCATGGAGCCATGTGTACAGGCCTTAAGTTATTAAACGTCTCTCTGAGGCACACAATAATGGCCAGTTGCAACTAGAGTGCCTATGTTTACACTATGTCCATGCACTACACTTCAACATATGGACTTGTAAAGAACTATAAAGAACTGTAAAGAACCTACGGCAAAAAGACCTGCACAGTGAATCGGCCATATCCAGAAGACTCTCTTGGGGGTGGCGGGGAGTGGGATTTCTGCACCACAAAATTGTACAACAATTTTGCAATGCAATTTGAGAACAATGCAACTTTTGTCTTTTATGCATGATATTTACAGCAGGCGAAGCCAAGTTCAGGAAACTTTAGCCATAATCACTGAATGACAACATTGAAGTTTTATGTTCTAGGCTGTGTCATCAGGTACCAAACACAAGTAGTGCAAAGAATAAAGTATTTTAAGTATTGTTTTGAAATGTGTCTATGCTTTTTATCATCACATCTTTTTGGATTTGGGATCTTTTGGAATTGGAAGTGTCGGTGGAGAAATTAAACACCATAAAAGGTGGCGATGACAATGCTGTTATTTAATTTGAGGGAAAAGGGTTTACTTCTCCATTTACATACAGTAGCATTGCTACCAGATATGAACTGAGGACCCAATTGCTCAGAAACAAAAACTTTAAAAGTCAACAAAAAGACAGTTTGTTTTTAACAGTCCATATCAGGCAGGTTTTATATTTTATATTTTATATTACAGAATCATTTTAATAATGCCTGAACTTTCCTCATAGCTTATTATTGGTGTTGTTAAAGTCAACACAGACCACAGTTCAGGATTCGAGGGAGCTATTACAAACCGAATCGATTCCAGAGAGTCTAATGTCTCCTTTTCACACAGTCAGTTTTTATATTAATATTTTTCTCCCATTTTGTCCTTATGCTTAACATGTTTCACTCTTGTAGTAATTACATTTGGACTAAAGAGTACCACACTATTCCTAAGAGTACATGTTAATCAGCCTCAAAATGCATGTAAAAAAAAAAAGAATTTATACTCATCAATCCTATTACAAATAGTTGAGCCTTATTGGCCTGTAAAGCAGCAACACCTGATCTGTCCCTCATAAGATTTATGCTCGTCTCACCTTTAAAAGGAATATTTCACTACTGGAAAGATGGTCTTTTTATAAAACTGGGCTCTATGCAGTAGAAAGATACAAATATTCTTGACATTGGTGCGACATGACCAGAGAAAACATGGTATTCCCTTTTGCACAAAAAGGTAGAAAACCTAGGCTCATTGCCTTCCAAGGTCACTCCCACTCCCACTTAAACTTCCCTCCAACTCTTCCAAACTCCTCCCTAAGCCCTAACCCTCCTCCATACATCACAATTCCTCCGCACTGAATGTCTGTTTGCAGCATTAAACTATTAAAATTGTTTTCTTCCATATCTACAGGAACTTTCTGCCATACTCTTGTTCTATCCAGATGATTTTGGTCAGGATGTTTTGGAGCGACTGTCTGCGGAGGCGGGCCAACAAAAAATCCAGAAGTGCAATCTGCAGTTCAAACAGTAGCCCTATAGGCTGAAACATGTCATGTGTCAGACTTTTGCCTTTCTGCATTGTTAATTTGCATATACACACACATTGCAATTATACAAAGCTGGTTGAAAAGTGAAAACGCTTCCCTTTAATAATCACTGCAATCATTACATTTTATTGGCATTCATTTCACAATAATCAGGAAAATCCAACATGAAGCTCCTTAATGAGACTTTTATCCTCCAACTGGAGCCAACAGTAAGAAGAGTACAAACATTTGCATCTTGTACACAAAAATCCTGTTTGACAAAAGCTCTACTTATGTAAAATACACCAGAAGCTCATGACGACAGATAAAGCTTGTGAATCTTGTATTAAGAATGTATCAAGTGTTTTTTTCCACAAGGCAAGGTGAAGTAAGATTTCTTTAAATAGCACATACCAAAGGAAACCCTGAAGTGCTTAGTCCCAATGAAAAATATTAAAACAATAAAAGAACCTCACCTGTCTTCCTGTCATATTAGAGATCTGCAGATAAATGTTGGTATGATATAAATGTCTTTGTAGTTACTTCCGCCCAAGTTTCACTGTCATTCGTCGGTTTAAGAGACTGAACACTCATGAGATGAATTAAACTGGTTCAGACATACTTAAAGTGAATGCAGACCAGTACGTTTTCATTATGACTCAGAGTATCATTCGTTAAACTGTTGCTGAATGTTACTGTGGTTAGTTGTTAATGTGCAATAAGTTTATTAAGGTGCAATACACTGGATTATTCTGTAATTCTTGTAAAAATCTATAACTTCGGCATCACCACAATCTTTAAAAGTCATTACTATTTTATTTCTGTCGGCACATACTGTGGAATACATTTACTTTGTATATATCAGCATATGTTGTGTAGGTTATATATTTTATTACTATAATAAAGGTACATAGGCTCTTATTATATTTCTATTTCCATTTTTATGTTATTTTTTACGTAGCTATGCAATTATTTTGTATATTTTGTATTATTAAATCAAACCTACAAAAAAAAACAAGAAACTTAAGTTATAAAATAAATTGCTCCTTAATTACTCAAGTTAAGTACAAGGACCTCAAAACTTAGTACAATATAGACCAGTGTGGAAACCACTGGGGGGGTCGGGTTCTCACTAGGGGACAAAAGGGGGCTGTAAGGCCGTCGTGATTTGAAGGCATGCTAGAAAACTTAAAAAATATACACAGGCCTGTTACTCAGCATCTGGTTCACTTCTGTGAAGAAAAGTCAATGTAAAGTAAACTGTCTAATAGATTAAATATGTATGATTGTTAAAAACTATTTAAAAAAATACACAATACAGACAGAATTGTATAAAAAGTTCCCTAAATATTAAATAATCTACTCAAAATTCATCCAAATCACCAATCAAATCCTCTCAGTTACTGATTTCACTGTTTGGGTTAATTGTAGCTACTTCTTTGATTACTTAATATGTCACTTAATCAGTTTACTTAATGATAGAAAAGGGGTCCCTTGAGGAGAAAGGTTGGGAACCACGGATGTAGACCGTCAATAAATGTGTGGTAGTTTGAAATTTATGACGCATCTGTCAGATATAGGCGGAGTTCCCGGTGTTTCATTATTGTCTGGCACAAGGAAGTTGTTGTCTTAGAGCGCAGTAGTCACAGTCTCAGCAGGACAGATACAGCAGCAGCAGTTTCTCTGTGAAGGCATTCCGAGGATTCCCCGCGCCTCCATCCTGTCTACCTGCCCAACAGGTGCAGCCGGCTGTCTGCCACCGAGAGGCGGCTCCGAGCGAGGGGGGCCGTTCATGCTCATCTATGGGTGAGTGTCTGCGGAAAGCTTGTCCGTGTCTGGAAACACTATGGCAGAGGAATTTCAGCGACAAAAAGTCTTCTCCAGGAGAAGGAGGAGTACATGGTGGCAGTGGAGAAGGAGGAGGGGGAGGAGGAGGAAGATTCAGCAGTAGCGGGGAGGTCAGACAACCGAGTCCGAGTCCGACGCCGACGCTGGAGAGAGTGCCCGAGAGCGGGTGTATCTACACGGCGATCTGGCCGTTTGAATCACGGCACACGGATGAGCTGTCGTTCCAGGAGGGGGACCTGTTCAGTGTCATCAGCCGCAGCGGGGACTGGTGGACCGCACGGAGGATCGACAAGAACGGGCGCGTCCTGGACACCGGGATCGTACCCAGCAACTACCTGGCCAGAGCCGAGTCGCTGGAAATGCAACCGTGAGTGCTGCACCTTCTCTAAATACCTCCATAAAAAACAGACCTCTTTCTCTTGGTTCATTCCAACTTCATAACTTTATAACACCTGTGGTTCCGCAGAACTCCACTGCAGCCAAGTTTGAACTTGTTATGCAAACTCATGTGAAGTGAATCAAACTAAACATTTAAATCCTAGGCTCAACATATAGATATATTATTGTTATACGTGTTTAAACCAAAGCTTAACATTATAAACTCAGATTTATAATTCACCTGTCTGGGTTCAGACCTTCCAATCCGCCCACTCCACAAGTTGTCTACGAGACGTTTTGTCTACATTTACTGCAGGGCTCCTGTAATGGACTGCATTACACATGTTCAGCACACAAACACATCCTTTCTTGTTCTAGTTATTTTCTTCTATCAGTGCCTTTGTACTTGACAAAGAGTCAATCAGTGCATTTACTTGTGCAGTAATACTGGTTTTGATCAGGTTTTTGGAGTATCCTGCTTATGTTTTGTGCACGTAAACAACTTATCCTGGTTTCTGAACATTCCCTGTTGGTTGGTGCAGATGGTGAGACATTGAAACACACCTGCAGGCAGACAATCAGAAACCTAAATAACCATATTATCATTATACAGGGAGATGAATAACCAGGTTTCTCATGTGTAAGGAGACTAGTGAGCATGTAAACACGTTGAGACTGGAACGTTTAGCAATGTAAGTGTTGAGAGGACTAATTTACTGCCTCAACCAGTGTTTTACAGTAGAGGTTTACACTAAGTTGCATTTTATTTAGGCTTAAACCTGTAGTCAATACATGCTTTTAAACATGTTTTATGAAACAAACATGACCCTTACACAAGCTTTAGCTGCATAAACAGGAGAGTTAAACATTATCAGGTAACAGGAGGAAATTAATTCCATTGTCAAATTTTTTTTTAAACCGCACTATTTGTTACACTGTAATTACAGTGCGACTGGTTGGACTTGTTAAAGTGCTAATTCAAGTGTGTCACAACACACATTGGTATGCATCTTATATTAGCAGGCTACAAAGAGGCCTGTTATACCATACTTCAGATTCAGATTCAGAAATACTTTAATAATCCCAGAGGGAAATTATATTAAATGTTACATTTGCTTATCTTTACAATAATTATATTCTAGCAACATTATCCTTCTACAGAAGACCTAATGCGAACGAAAGCATCTTATTGTCATCCACTTGTCTCACAAATTTGATATTTTCATGCAGTGTGTTTGGAACTTTGATTAAAATCCACAGAGGAACTTTCCCCATAACCTTCCACTTTCTGCTGCCATTTACCCTGATGTGTCTTCCATACATATCATGATCTCTGTCCTCATTTTTCTTTGTTACTTTTCTGCCTCTCATATATCCCCTTCCCCAAACCTTATGTTGTAAAAAAAAAAAAAAAGGTCAGTAACACCTTTCATAATGTCAGTCCCATGCCTGCATGTCTTTTAGCAGTGATGCAAACTGGGACGCTAACGCTACGACAGTCGTCCTCACCACTTCTTGTTTTGTCTTTCTCTGTCAGTTTATTGCTTCAACAGAATGGGAAGTGTGTAACGTGTGTTTTCCCAGATGTCAACAGATGCTGCAAAGCTGAAAATAGTTATAGAGTTTCTGATTTTCATGACATTATCTTTATATTATGTATAATTATTGTTTAATATCCACTTTAAAAAAAAACACCTCAGCATCACTGATACAATAGCAAATTAAGATCAGCAGTAATAACAGTTTGCTTAAGTAATACTTTTATGATTGGGAGTGACATTTTTAAGGACTGCAACTAATGTTTATTTTCATTTTCGTCGCAGAGTGTTTTCTGTTCCTGTTGTGACATATTCATATAGCTAAACCTACAATTAACTATCATATATGACAACAAACAGCTGCAAACCTTCACATTTAAGTAGCTGCAACCAGAAAATGTTTGACATTTTTTCACAATAAACTGCTAGCCCTAAAACTAAAAAACAGATACAAAACATAAAGCTTAAAGCTGGAGCTACTGTTCTGTAGCTCACATCAACAAGGTCTTATAACTGTATAAAAAGCAAGCATTCACTCCTGTTCTAACACTGCTTTTAATAGCAGAACATCCAGTCTCAAGCCGCCATCAGAGTCACGTGATAACCCGAAGCAGAAGACTCTGCATTGTAACAGCTGCAAATACTTTCATTTTGCATGCTGTACTTTCATGGAAACTTTTGACGCGGTTACATACTTTGACCACTTAAAAGTTATACCTTGAAAAAATGAAGCAGCCATCATCGTTTAAAAAGCAGATGCCAGGATGTTCACAGGTACAGCATATAGTCATATTAGATGTTGTTTTGGAGAGCCAATGCACCATAAATCCTTTAACAACACCAAAGAATAAATCTAACATACACCTAAGATTATTCCAAAGATGATTTCAGGATATATTATCTACCATTTGCACAATCTCTGATCACAATACTACAGCAAATAGAGATTAAGATTGAAACCATGCCACCACTTCCTAATAATTACTTTCATTTTTGTCTGTCTGTCATCCAGATGGTACTTTGGGACAATGAACCGCTTTGAGGCCCAAAGCCACCTGCTGGGACCAGGAAATGACCGGGGAGCTTTCCTCATCCGACACAGTGAGAAAGACAACGTTGGATACGTTCTTTCAGGCAAGAAGACAAGAAGGGGAGGGGATGGCGGGGGGGTGGAGGAAGAACAAAAACAGAACAATGGTGAATGTTGTCAGTGGGCTAATATAGAGCGAGTACAGAGAGAGTTTCACTTCAGTTCAAAAACCTGTGATGTATTTAGTAAGAGAGTGAGAGACAGGGGAGTAAATGTATATAACTGGCTTTATAATGTAGTAGTTTGTAGGGAGGCCATCCAGCTGATAAGGAACCCAAGACCCTCAGAAGAGGTCTCCACATATGCACAATGAACTGCTGCGTTACTGGAGAACATCACGCATTGTCTGATTTGATAATAGTCACAGTAACTTTCTCACTAGGAGAACTAGGAGGTCAGTCTTATAGTGCAGACCGCTGCCAAGGCCAATAGTCCACGCAAATCTACAAGCATCCACACCCACTATATAGGTCTTTATTACAACTGACTTAATCTTGCAATGTTAACAAAAGTGGAAAGAATTTAATGAGTTCTTCCGTGGTCCACGCTTCACCTTTCCACCAAGTTTCATGAAAGTCAGGCTGGTAGTTTTCGCATAATCCTGCTGACAAATGGCACTAAAAACATAAACTCCTTGGCAGATGTAATAAACATTTCCAACACGTGGGAAACCAGAAACTCGAGACGGTAAATAAACACGGGGCATTAACCTGGCCACGAAACTATTCCTATATCTAGTAACTGCCTTGCCTTAAAACAGAGCCCACCCACACTCATTGATCTCTTTTGCTATGTGATCCTTCACAACTGTAGGTTGTAGTGCATTTGCGTAGTCCATAAATAGACCAGAATATTACATTGTGGACATGGATGTATTGTCAGCGTCAATAATAAAGGTTATTTCTATCCTCTATTTCTTCTGTTCGCCTAAAGTTAGCATCATTCTAGCTTCATAAGTCAATTTTGCTATGCTACTGTGCAAGGTAACCTACAACCTGATCTAGATTATTTTAGTTCAGTTGGTCTGGGCCTGGAAACTAAAAGGCACAACTTGCCTATTTGTTAAGGAAACTGACATTTTTGGAAATATGCTTACATGAGAAGATTGGTCCCACTCTCATACTTGTAAGATAAATATGAAACTACAGCTAGCAGAAGCTTAGCTTAGCACAAAGACTAGAAATATTGGGGGAGGGCAAGGCTAGCCTGGCTCTGTCCAATGACAAAATCCACCTACCAGCATCTCTAAAGCTTACTCATTCAAAGTCACAAGGTTCACACTGATGCCCTTTCAAAGAGCAACGGCACAAGCGTAACCACAGAAAATGTCAGTATTTATGTTTTCTATGATTTCATGCAACCTGCTAACCTTTTAATATAACCTAAAACAGTGGCTTCCAAAGTGGGGCGTGGGTTTTGTGTCAGAGTGACTAATTGGGGACAATAACTTTTGAATTTGGTCTATTTGCCAGTTGCACACAGTGGATATACTTCCATTAAAAGTGGTTAAAAGTGCTACTGACACTCACATTGTTATTATAAATGTCTGACAACCAGGGCCTAACCCTAACCCTCTGGTACAAAAACACATAAAAAATCAAAAATACAGACAGTACCTGTCAGACATCTTTTTAGCGACATTGTCACCACATTTCCAGATCTCAGAAATGAACTCATTTAAATAAAATATTATAAAATCACTGGATGGTGTTGTGATGGTGATTTAGATTAAACTATGATGGTTTGATTACAAAATGTTTGAAATGTAACGTTAGGAAGAATCTGACGGCAGGAACTTTACGTTTTATTTTGTGAACCACTTTTCTTTGTTTCTGACTTTGTGTATTTTTGTGATTCTTTCTGCAGTGAGGTCGCTCAATCGGGTGAAGCATTTTAAGATCCATGGAGATGAGAATAACTTTTACGTGGAGCACAGCCACCACTTCAGTTCTCTGATTGATTTGGTGGAGCACTACAGCATCAACACCCTGGCCAACACGGGCACACTGGGAAACCCCTGCAAGAGGGTAGGGCAAGCTGTGTTGGTTGTGTTTCTATCTTTTTGCTTCTTCAATTGTTTGTTCCTCTTATTTTATGGTCATGTGAAAACAAGAAGTGTTAAAATAGACTTGTTGCTAGAACATGCAGAATTTATTTAGTTGGCAGGGAGCAAATTAATCGAAACTACAGTGCTTGTGATGTCAGCTTCTAGCAGAAACTAACAAAAAAATTTCCATTTTAGTTTTAAAGGTAAAAAAAATTAAAATCGGTTCGTATTTTCTACTTAGGATATATATATATATATATATTTTATATATAAGATTCTTAACAGCCACCGCGACAGCCCTGCCCCGAACCGACAACCAATCAGGTTACATGAACACGATGTCAGGATGAATCCTTCCTCCTGCTTATACTGGTCACTGAAAGATCCCTTTCAAACATGCTCCCAATGGAGGTGATGGGGGACATTTTTAGTACAGAATTCCCTCTTTGTGTAAGTGTTCAATGTAAATACGGGCATCTTATGTTGTTTTTTTGTACCGTGTCAACTAAGACTGAAACACTTAATTGATCAACAACAAAGTAATCAGCAACTATTTTGATAATTTATTAACTTTTAGTGTTAACTGGTAATTTTTCAAGCAAAATGCCCCAAAATTTCCTAGTCTCCGCTTCTGAATTGTGAGGATTTGCTAATTTTCTTTGTCTTATGTGGTAATAAACTGAATATCTTTGGGTTTTGGACTGTTGCTTCAACAAAACAAGACATTTTACTTCCCCTTAGACTTGTTGACAAATTGTCATAGGCATTTTTCAAAATTTTTTGTCATTTTATGGACTAAAATGTTTCCAAATTTTGCATTCTGAGATTGTGTGTCAGACAGGCCTATACAGAACATATGTACTGTATTTGTGTCCCTTTATAACCTACAAGTGTGTTTGTGTGTTTCCTCCATCAGAAAAAGCCCACCACCCCAGATTTGAATCATTTTACAGTGGACGAGTGGGAGCTCCCGAAAGAGGAGTTCACCCTGGAGGAGGAGCTGGGCACGGGCTACTTTGCTGACGTCTACCGGGGACGCTGGAAAAACATTATTAACGTCGCCATCAAGATCCTCAAAAGTGGTATTTGATCATCTCTTAAGATAAGATAAGATAAGATATTCCTTTAATAGTCCCACAGTGGGGAA